CTCCCCACCCCACAGCCTGGCCCCCGCCCCACCTCTGCCTCCTTCCCCATAGACCCTCTCTCCTCGGGGTACCCAGAGTCTGCCTTTGGGTCTCCCCTCTCAGTGTCCCAGAGCATGCATATCAGAAGCAAGCCCCCTGTCCCATCCCCTAGGGGACAGAGAGCCAGCCCCCCCACCATGACCTCTTCCACCACCAGCCCCAGTAACCCGTGCCTCACACAGCTGCTCAGGGCAGGTGAGATGGACTAGCCCTGGAATGGGGGCTGTGCTGGGGAGCCCCGGGTGAAGGGTGAGCTTGGGGCATGAGGGGATCTTAAGCCATGATGGGTTGTCCCGTGTGTGCAGCCAAGCCTGAGCAGGCCCTGGAGCCACCACTCCTGCCCGCACCCCTTGGCGTATCCCCGGGATCCCCGGTAAGATGGCAGGTGCTGGGAGGTGGGGCTGAGCCCAGGGCCTGTTCCCCAACTCTCTGCGCTTCTCCACCCCAACAGGAGACCATCCCTGAATTCCCTCATGCCTTCTTTTCCCCAACGCTGGCCCCTGTACCACCCAGGCCGCCACCTAGCTCAGCCACGCTGGCCCCTCCCAGGTCCCTGGTTGTCCCCAAAGCAGAGCGACTGTCACCCCCAGCTCCCAGTGGTAAAGAGGGAGGATGAAGGAAGATGGAGTGTGGAAGGGTGAGGGGGGCTTGCCTGGAGCCGAGAGGTCTGTCTGGGGGTCTGTCTCTGTCCCTGCTACAGGCCGTGAGCGGCGGCTGTCGGAGGAGAACTCTGTCCCTGCACCTGGGCCACCAAGGGTCCGTGTCTCTCCCCCTCCACCCATCCCAAGCCGGGGCCGTCAAGACAACAATAAAGTGGGTACCTCCACACTGCCTGTCCAGCTCCCCAGGCTCTCCCGGGCTCCTTCCTAAACTCAACTGCACCTTCTGTTCCCCAAGACGGAGAGCCGAAGGATCACGCATATCTCGGCTGAACAGAAACGGCGTTTCAATATCAAACTCGGCTTCGACACTCTGCACGGGCTCGTGAGCACCCTCAGCGCCCAGCCCAGCCTCAAGGTGAGCCCCCAGCCCAGGCTGTACCCCCAGAGCACCGGGACCCCTCCCTGACCGCCCACCTAAGGCCAACCCCCAGGCCCACACTGGTGGTGTCTGCAGGTGAGCAAGGCCACCACGCTACAGAAGACTGCGGAGTATATCACCATCCTGCAGCAGGAGCGGGCCTCCATGCAGGAGGAGGCCCAGCAGCTCCGGGACGAGATCGAGGAGCTCAATGCCGCCATCAAGTAGGCAGGGTGGGGAAGGTCTGGGGTCAGGGCAAAGGCAGGGGCCCAGGGAGCAGGCCATCCTCTGGCTCCCCACTGCTAACGTGCGTGGCCCCCAGCTTGTGTCAGCAGCAGCTGCCAGCCACGGGGGTGCCCATCACACACCAGCGCTTTGACCACATGCGACACATGTTTGATGACTACGTCCGGACCCGCACACTGCACAACTGGAAGTTCTGGGTGGTATCCTCACTCTAGCCAATGGCCTCAGGGCAGCAGCCCAATCAAGCTGTGCCTGAAGCCACAGGTTCAGTTCCACAGGCCCAAAGAAGGGCTCTAACCTGCCCCCTGCTACCAGGCTCTGGACCAGCAAGGTTACCCAGTGAAGATCTGGGAGCTGAGAGAGTCAAGGGGAGGAAAGATCCAAAGCAAGAGGAACCCTCAAGAAGCCCCAAGAAAGCCAGGCACCAGTGGCTCATACCTCCTGTAATTCTAGCTACTTGGGAAGCTAAGATCTGGGGATCACAGTTCAAAGCCAGCTTGGGCAAACAAATCCAGAGACTCATTGCCAACTTGCTAGAAAAAAAAAAAGCCAGCCGGGCACTGGTGGCTCATGCCTGTAATCCTAGCTACTCAGGAGGCTGAGATCTGAGAATCGCCATTCAAAGCCAGCCTGGGCAGGAAAGTCCATTAAGACTCTTATCTCCAATAAACCACTAGAAAAAAACAGAAGTGGTGCTCTACCAGTGGTAGAGTGCTCACCTTGAGCTGAAGAGCACAAGGACAGCGCCCAAGTCCAGAGTTCAAGCCCCACGACCAACCAAAAAAAAAAAAAATGCCAGAAGTGGAGTGGGTAGCACAAGTGGTAGATCATCAGACAAGAGCATGAGGCCCTGAGTTCAAGTCCCAATACCAGCATGCATGCATGTGCACAAGTGCACACACACCCGCACGTGCATGCGCGCACACACACACACACACACACGCATTCAAGGTCCCAAGAGAGTATTCTGAATCTTTTTAATGATGAGATATAGAAACAGAAGAAATCCCAGCCCCCCTCCACCCCGGTGCTAGTGATTGAACTCAGGGTCACTTGCGCATACCCCCAGTCCTTTTGTTCTTCAAATAGGGTCTCAGGCATTTGCCCAGGCTGGCATTGGATTCCGATCTTCCTACCTTTGCCTCCTGAGTAGCTGACATTATAGGCATGCAACACCACACCCAGCTCAGAATCATGACTGGCAATCCAGGGAGAAGGGACAGTCTTGAGTAGAACCAGGACCGGCAGAACCAAGAGGAGGGAGCTGAAGGCTAGAGAGGTAGTCAGTCTTTGGCATGATGTGGGGGACATTGAGGGTTTTTAGGACCCAAGGTTAGATAGTGGCAAGCCCTTCCTTCTGATTTGGGTCAGGTATCAAGGTTCTGTGTAGTACTGTCTTGGCCTCAAGCCTGTTCCTTGACCTTGGCTCTCAGTTCAGCATTCTCATCCGACCGCTGTTCGAGTCCTTCAATGGGATGGTGTCCACTTCAAGCCTTCACAGCCTCCGCCAGACTTCACTGGCCTGGCTGGACCAGTGCTGTTCCTTGCCAGCTCTCCGGCCAAGTATGCCCACCACCTGTCTGCCCTGCAGCGGGGAGGCTCAGGGCAGGGGGTTCTGCTTGGGGCCATGCCGCTGTGCTCCCTGGATGGTCCTACAACCACCAGGATGCCTACAGACAGGGGTCCTAGAAGGGCTGGACTGATGCCAGCCTCCACCTCAGCCAAGTCTCTGTCTCTTTCCAGCTGTGCTGAACTCCCTCCGCCAGCTAAGCGTGTGCACCAGCATCCTGACCGATCCCAGCCGCATGCCTGAGCAAGCCACAAGGGCTGTCACTGAGGGCACCTGGGGCAGACCACCACTATAGTATCAGCTAACCCTGCCAAGCTCCAGCAACAACTCCCAGGCCCTCCACTCCTGTCCCAGGCCCCTTTGCTGTAGTTCCAAGAGCTGCATTCCTGTCCCTGGGATACCAATGAAACTTGGGATGACTGGCACTCTACCCCATCTTTGGAAATCCATTTTTCACTTGGCAAAATGGTGCTAAAGGAGGTTCACCCGACAGAGAGCTCTAAGGCCTTAGCTACTGTGAGTGTAGGAACTTAAGCAGGCCATCCAGAGAGTGTTGTTCTTACGTGGGGCCCTGAGCAGGGAGCAGGCAGAAGCCTTCTTTGCTCCTACACAGGTGACATGGAGGCTGAAGGGTGGCTTCCTCTGAACCGAGCAAGAGCGGTCTCGTATTTGGCAAGACCAGAGCAAGGGCGGCTAGAGCGGTCAAGCATCTTGTGTGTGTATGGGTGTGTGTATGTGTGGATTTTGTACAGATTTCTTGAACCATAAAAGCAAAAACTATGTTGCTGTGACTGTCAATGTGTCTTCTGAGATGGAGACAGAATGGGTGACAGCTGAAGGTGGCTTTGTAGAAGGCCTTGGAGGCTGTAAGAAAACACCGTGAGCAGTGTGGTGGTTCAGGCCTGTCCTAACTTGTGCTTCCTAGGCTAGTGCTCTACCACTGGAACCACACCTCAACCCTGTTTGTATTTTTCAGATAGGGTGTGAATTTTTTGCCCTGACAACATACTATGGTGATCCTACCTTCTGCAAGGCTGAGATTATAGGCACTCACCACTGCACTTGACTTGTTGAGACAGGCACTCACTTCATTTTCCCTGAGCTGGCCTCAGATTTTTGCTACCTTCCAAGTAGCTGGGATTATAGACACCAGCCACTGGGCCTGGCTCTATCATTCACTTTTTCAATTCCCTGTGAATCTATAATAAAATTCTGTGTAATTTCTTGTTGGGGAGGTGGGTGTAACTCTGTGGTAGAGTACTTACCTAGTATGAGCAAGGTCCTGGGTCTGATCCCCCAATACGACAAAAAACGAACTACAATCCCCTTCCAGCGTCCTGCTCCCACCGACTTCCCGCGTGCTCCGGTCCGTACTCCCTGCACTCTCCCGCACATCCGCAGAACCTGGAGGTAATCTGCATCCCCTCCAGTGGGGCCCCCGGGTGCAGAGCCAGGCGCGGCCCTTCGGACCTCGACCCGACCCGCGTCCGGAACGGTGTCCAGGGCAGGCCGGAACTTTGCAACCCCGCCGAGCCACCGTACACGGAGCCCGCAGTTCTCTCAGGGCACAGCAGGCCCGACTCCCCACCCGCCCCGCTTAGGCTGCCCGCAGGACCCGCCAAAGGCAAGGCCACGCCCCTCGGGGCATTCAAACGGACAGGCTCCGCCCCTCAGAACAGCTCAACCGCCAGGCCCCGCCCTTTCAGGCTCTCCAGACAGTCTGGCCCCGCCTCTCCGGCGGTCGAGCAGCGAAGTTCGACCCACCCACGGCCCCGCCCCCTCAAAAAACACTTTATCGCCAGGCCCCGGCCCTCAGAACATTGAAATGACCCTGCACTGCCCCAGAAGGCGCTCAACAGCCAGGTCACGCCCATAAAAGATGCTTAACTGCCAGGCCTCGCCCCACTAGACGCCTCTCCGAGCATTCAAACGGAAGGCTCCGCGCCATGAGACGCGCCAACAGTCAGTCCCCGCCTCCCCAGGCGCGCCCGCACTGAGGCCCCTCCCCTCGGGTCATTCACACGGTGACTCCGCCCTTTGAGGCCCGCCAACGGCCTGGCCCCGCCCCCTGCGTGCGTCGAGGCGTACGGACGCCGCCATACGCCGAAAGCTGAGTTGGCAACGGCGTCCCTGGCCGACATGGAGCTGCCGCAGATGCCGGAGCTGATGGGGCTGTCCCTGTTGGTGGGGCTGTTGGCCCTGATGGCGACGGCGGCAGTGGCGCGGGGGTGGCTGCGCGCCGAGGAGGAGAGGAGCAGCCGGCCGGTCCGTAAGTAGGGCCGGGGTAGGGTCGGGGCGCCCGCGGGGGCCGGGGCCTTGGGCCTTGGGCCTCGGCTGCAGAGGCGGGGGGCCGGGGCCTCGGGCCTCGGCTGCAGAGGCGGGGGTCACCCCTCCGGGTCCCCGCCGCACCCTGGCCGGGGGAGGGCGGTCAAGTGAAGCCGCGGGTGTTAAGAGGCCCTGTCACCGCCAGTAGGCCCAAGCGTTCTTTGAATGAGTCCAGTGGATGTGAGTTGTGAGCATTTAAAAGCGCCAGTAAAAAAAAAAGGCGCGATCGTCGGGGGCTCATGGGTCACGCTTGTAATCCCAGCCACTCTGGAGGCTGAGATCTGAGGATCGCAGTTCGAAGCCAGCCCGGGCGAGAAAGTCCGTGAGATTCTTCTCCGCAGTTAACCACACACAGAAAAAGCGGGAAGTAAGCCGAGCGCCGGTGGCTCACGCCTGTAATAGTAGCTACTCCGGAGGCTGAGATCTGAGGAAGCCAGCCCGGGCAGGAAAGTCTATGAGACTCTTCTTTTATTGCCGGTAAACTACTCAGAAAAAGTCGAAGTGGCGCTGTGGCTCAAGAGAGCGCTTGCCTTGAGCACAGAGGCTCAGGGACAGAGTCCAGGCCCTGAGTTCAAGCCTCAGGAACCCACACAGAAAAAAGAGGGAAAAAAGCATGATGGATTTCACAGCAGAACCACTACTAGAAACAGGGAACCAGAGTAGGGAATCCATAATGTGGACATTTTTTGTGTGTGTATGCCCTTCACTCATGTGCTCTTGCCACGGGGCTATACCCTCCAGCCTGCAAGGGGTGGCTAAAGGATGGTAGGGTAGGAAAAAAGTTTACCCAAAAGCCAAGAAAGAAAGACATTCTTACAAAATGGCCAAATTCACGAAGGTGAGGAGCTGCAGAACAGAATTTGGTGTGAGTCAAAGGTCAAGAAAGGGGAGTGTGGGGCTGGGAAGGTGGCTCAGTGGTAGAGTGCTTTCCTTGCATGCATGAGGCCCTGGGTTCGATTCCTCAGCACCACATAAGCAGAAAAAAAGCTGGAAGTGGCACTGTGGCTCAAGTGATAGAGTGCTAG